TGTCCCGGGTCGGGAGGCCGGCTGGGGCCGAGCCGCCGCCTGCCGTCGCGAAGGGCCGCAAAGCCAAGCGCAGCCCCGGCACTCCTCCAGCTCGCACCGTCGGGCCCCCGGCTCCCATCGCCCGGGTCCCCGCCGTGACCCTCTCGGTGACCTCGGTGGCCGGCTCGCGTATCAGCCACACGGACAGCAGCTCGGATCTCTCCGACTGCGCCTCCGAACCCTTGTCTGATGAGCAGCGTCTGCTCCCCGCCGCCAGCAGCGACGCCGAGTCGGGTACCGGTTCCAGTGACCGGGAGCCCCTGCGCGGAGCACCCACCCAGACCTCCGGAGCCCGCGGGCCGCCGCCGGGCAGCCCTGAGTCCCCCGCGCTGCTCACGGCGCCCCCTGTCGCTGGTGCCGGTCTCGGGGGCCGAAGCAGCCCAGGCGGGGCCCCCTCAGGGTCCCCGGGACACGGTTCGGTGGAGGATGTTGGGGGCCGAACGCCACCGGAGCGGACGATTCTCGGGACTCCCAGGGATCCTAACTTGGGCGAGCAGCCCCGGCTCCTGGTGGTGGCGGAGGAAGAAGAGTTGCTGAGGGAGATGGAGGAACTGCGTTCGGAAAATGACTACCTCAAGGTGAGTGGCCTCTGGGGTGGCAGGTGTCTCGGAGGCCGACCCCGGATCCTCTGGCTGCCCTGAGGTCCGGCGAGCCCAGTCTGGGGGGGTGGGGGAGCTCATTAACACCTTAACTCTTCTACTTGGCACCCCCACTGCTCCCCAAATCCACTAGGTTCTGGTAACTTAACCCCAAACTTGTGAGAGGACCTGTAGGTCTGTTTTTTTGTTTGTTTGTTTGTTTTTGTTTTGCTCTTTGCTCTTAATTTTAGAAATCTTGCGTGTCTTCGCTTATGCCTTTTGGGTGGCTTATAAGTCGTTTTGAGTGCATTGACCCCTACACTGTCACCTGTTGAGGGTTATCTAGATGCCCAGCCGTGACCCTACACGTGCCTTTGTGTGTGGTATGGTTTCCAGGTGCCAGACGTACCCGCAGCTCCTCCTGTGAGTTCAGAAAAAGCTGGGCCCCTACCTGCTCTCCTGGAAGTCTTCGGGGTATAGCTGAGAGGGCTGGTCCTTTTAGTGATGAACACCTTTTAAATTCGGAGGAAACGCTTTGAACTTGTGGCCTGTGTCCCGGGACAGTAATGTTTTCGGCCCTTTGTAAGTGACCACAAAACTGGTCAGAAAAGGACACTCGGCTCTTTCCAAGGAACTGCAGCCTCTCACACTCCGAGTGTTATCCAGTGGGGCCTGCTGGCCATGGTCTTGTCATGTTAGCCTTGGGATAGGGGATAGATAGATGGGATAGATAAACAATCAGTCTCCACCTTCTCTCCAGGGCTGGCCTGCAGAGCAGAGGGTTTATACAGTGTGTGTGTGGGGGGGGGTGAGTTAAAGACAGCTGGGGTGATTTGGTAAGAGAAGACAAAAGGGGGGTAGTAGTGAAAGTGACCTAGTTTGCGGTAATCCTCAGGTCAGGAGGCGACTCCAAGAGTGTAAATCTCTTCATTGCTCTGTTAAGATGTTGTTGAAGGTTCTCCCGCAGAGCCAGGCGGCCCCTGCTGTATCCAGTGGGTGGTGTGATTTTGTTAGCAGGTGTTGAACCTGCCTGATTGAGGCTGGGATGGAGGTTCAGGTTTTCAAGGTGAGGGTAGTGAGATGTACAGTTCAAGCTGGAATTAACGCCTTCCCTCTGGGTCTTCCGAACCCAAATCAGAAGTTGCTCTCGAGTCCAGTGGTTAGGTTATCATATGTGAAGCAAGGCAGACCAGAAAGCCAGAACTGAGCGCTTCAGGACGCTTCCAGTAAGGTATTTGCATTTGTCCCTGGCTCTTATGTAATAGATAGCAGAGTGCATCGCAAAGGTGTGGACAGAAAAGGCAGGTAGCCATGTGGTGTGGGGCTCTCGTGAAAGTAGGGAGCACTGTGAAGATGCCTAGTGAGCACAAGGTCCTGCAGGGTGAGAAAGTGAGCCCCAGATGAAAACTTAATCCACGGCCTATGACCTGCAGTAGTTCTGATCAGATCACAGGCATCCAAATTAAAACTGCTGAGCAGCAGACAACGGAGTTTTCTTTAAAGAAACTGTTTGTCACAGCATCCTGGATCTTCCAGCAGGCGACTTAGACCTCATTTCTAAGTTAATTCTTGGATAACCGCTTTATTTGCCTTGCCTGCTTCCTTGATTTTAAACACATGATTAGATCCCCAGGGGATGAAAGCAGCTGTCTGACCTTGGAGTCTGATTTATGTGGCTCTGACATGTCACTGGACCTTCGTAACATGGACTGGATTTTGCCCACACCCTCCACACCCCATCATGGTAGGTGTAGAACTGGGGGTGACCCCCCCCCCAACATGCCAAGCAAGAGCTAACTACACTACTGTCCTGCACCCTCCAGACCTTGCTGCTGGTATGTTTATCTCAAGTCCAGTTCCACAGGCAGGATGCTAGCTAGCTGTCCGACACCTGCGTCTTGCCCAGGGTTACCCTGTCAAAAAAGTGGTGCTCCCTTCTCTCCAGTGGTGCTCTCCAGAGCCTGCATACCAGGCTGCCCCCACTTGCCAGCAGAGCTGGTGTATACCATGCAATGCCTCAGAGCTATTTATTTATTTTAAGCTTTCCCAGGGGACCTCTGTTTTCTGCTCAGGTGAGAGGCCCATAATGAGTATGTCTCACTGGCCCGCGTTTGAAGGGCCACAGAAATCCCACTGGTAACTTTCGATTTGCAAGAAATGTTCGGTGCAGCTTCCCAGGGAGCAAGTGCCCTGGTCATCTGTTCACTGAGCCTGTGGAGTCCATGGACAGCAGGGGGAAGAATTGGTTAGAAGGGGTCTGAAGGACAGCAGGAAGCCAGAATAATTGCCTGTGTATGTATGCCATGTATATGCTGGGTCCTTCAGAAGCCTGTTACAGTAGTTCAATTTTCAAAAGAATAAGAATCCTAATGGACTTCCCTACGGTCCGTGAGCCTACCCCCTTGCGTAGAAATTGTGTAGAAATTGCGTAGAAATTGTGCAGCAGTGACCTCATGAGGTATCGGCCATCATCATTCGGTGTTTTTTTTTTTTTTTTTTTTTTTTTTGCAGCTAGAATGTGTACATCATAAACTTAATTTTACCTTTTGCTTACTGATGCCACACCAGGGTACCTTGTCCTCCTCCTCCCCACCATGGTAGAATAATGTGTGCTTGTTGCACAGAGCTCCTGAGGTCACAGTATCTGTCCATACCAGTGTTCTCTAATAAGAAATTTTGTGCAGAGACTTTATGTGTGTAGGTTCTGGATGGTTGTGACTCATCGAAGCATTACATTCTTTTCTTTCTTTCTTTCTTTTGAGACAGGGTTTCGCTTTGGAGCCTTTCCTGGAACTCACTCTGTAGCCCAGGCTGGCCTCAAACTCACAGAGATCCGCCTGGCTCTGCCTCCCGAGTGCTGGGGATTAAAGGCGTGCGCCACCACCACCCGGCCTTTGCATTATTTTCTGAGTGAGAGAGAGAGAGAGAGAGAGAGAGAGAGAGAGAGAGAGAGAGAGAGAGAGAGAGAAAGAGAGAGAGAGCGCTGTTGTTACATTGCGGTACAGAATTTTCAGAATAGACTGATGTGTCTGGAATAAGTAAATAAGGTCGACATTCTTAGAGGATGTCTTGTTGGTAAGGAACTTTAAAGAGCATATGTTGGTTTAATACATGTTCTCTCTTCTGCTGGGTGGAGAGTGTAGGGTCATCTATGACCCTATGTCTGTTCTTTCTTCAAAGGGCATTAGATAATTAGATGGAAAAAAAAGCAGAATACCTCAGTCCAGGTGGCTTGCCTTTGCATGAAAATACAAGCAGAAACACACCTGGGGCGTCCTTTGACCCCTGATGAACTCACAGATAATATTCAGAAATTAAGGCCAGCATAGGTATCCAGCGCCTTTGGGTCTTTCTTAGACAAACCCAGACAAGTTTCTTAATGCTGAGGAGAGACTTCACACAACACTGGCCTGGTTCCTCCCTGCCTGGCATTTTGCTTGATTGAGTGCTCTGGGACAATCAGACAAGCAGGACGGCTCATTGTCAACATCTTAATTAGGCCTTCCATTTCCACTGGCTTTTCACGAGGTAGTCGCCGAGTTCACGAGCGGGTTTTGAAAATGCTCTTAAGCGGTCTTACTTTTTACTGTGGCGGACTCACAACCTGCCCCTGCTCCATCCCGATGCCCTGCGTGGTGGCCCGGTGTTGGGGTAGGAAGGCCTGAGACTCTCTGCTCTGCTTTCTCAGTCATTTTCTAAGAATCGTTTACTTACAAGAAAATGAGAGCAGAGAACTGGCTTCTTGGAGTGATTTCTTAAGAGAGATCATTGAGGTTTTAGGTTTGGGGGAGGTGATGTGGATTGAACCCGTCCACTGAGAACAGCCTGCAGGCTTGGGGGAGATTTTTAGTTTAAGGCTGTCATGGTTTCCATTTGGCTGGCTGCGTGGCAGGTGCTCATCATGGCCCAGGGGAGGGGTGTTGGTGTGGACAGGAACTGGCATCTTAGCCTCTGGAGGGTCAGCTTCTCCGCCCCCCCCCCCCCCCCCGTCCTTTTTCTTTGGGGGAGGGGGGTTGTTAACATGGATAGTATTCTTTATTCTTTGCCGACATTCTGCTTCACATAGGCATTCTTTATTCAGCCATGAAAGCATCAATATGCTAATCTTAGGTGGCAAGATGTTGTAGTCGGGGACTGTAGCCACTCAGCTGCTGGCCGGACTGTCACTTGGTAAACAATAGTAGCCGTCCCTGGGTCTGCTCGGCTACAGCTGGTCCTCTGCACAGAACATTTCCATTGTCCCAAAGGAAATGAGGCCGATTATTCCTCTATGACAAAAGACAGCAGTTTCTGCCTTAAACTCCCAGAAGAGGAGACTATTGCTACAGTAACTACAGGACCGTGAGTGTTCCCACTAGGTCTGTTTACAAGGAATTATTAACGTAGGAATAGTTACTCATCTTTTTTTAAGTTCAGGTACAAAGTGATGGATGGATTTCATTATGGCATTTTCATGCACATATGCCATTAATCTTTGATTAAATGAGATTTGAACATACTCGTTAGTATGAGCCAGAGTTTTGGTTAATTATACCAAGAAATGCTGGATTTGGTTTTTATGGATGAAATTCTTGTTTTACTTGCCTGCATACATGGCATCCAAATCTATTACAATTTGATGTCTTGATTCATTCTCTGTAGCAAGGGGGAAACGTTGGACAGCTTCATACAACCTCAAGAATCCATTTTATATAAAATATTTTAAAAATATAGTTAATGGGCAGGGAGGTGGCTTAGTAGGTAATCACCATTGTTGCCCAACCTGGGTTTGGTGCCTGCCACCCACCTGGTGAAGGGAGAGAGAACCAATTTCTGAAAGTTAACTCTCTTAACTTCCTTGAGTATGTGGTGTGTACCCCCTCCAAGAATAAATACAATGTAATTTATTTTTTTTACAGGTCAAACTATGTCATTAAAAAACGTAGTTACAGCCGGGCGGTGGTGGCGCACGCCTTTAATCCCAGCACTCGGGAGGCAGAGGCAGGCGGATCTCTGTGAGT